TATTATGGATTCTTAACTCATGATTTCAGATGATTAAGTCATTTGTTGGCATTAACTTATTTGTGCCCCCCCCCCCCCCCCTTATTTATGGTTTATATGCCTTGAAAAGTTAAAGGAAAAAGTATGAAGATGATGAGCATTTGTCTTTCTACTAAGATATGAAGTTTGAGAGAAATTTTTTGGATTTGATCATGGTTTTGTATTTTCTCATTGTCATGTTTCAGGTTGTATCAGAAATTATTACATTTATGTTTTATCTTTTGCATTGCAGGCACAAATGTGAGATTTGACAGGATTTGTTGATGCAAGACAACAACTTTTGCATTTGAAACCAAATCATCGCATGAACTGGATTGGCTTTGCTGTAGCCCACCATTTAAACTCAAAGTACTTGTCCTTTATTTTTTTCTTAAAAAAATTTGTTCCAATTCTTATGCTAACTTTCACCAATTTCTGTTGACTTTTATTTTGTGAAACATGTTTTAGAGTGTTGTTATTGTTATGTATACTTGAAGGTCCAAATTGAAGGGCCTTTTGGTATTGAAAGTTGAAATATTTGTTGATATAATGAAAGCCTTTCTTTAAATTAAATGCTTAATCAGGACTTAATGTTTCTAATTATATGATCAAATGGGTGCTAACATGGATGAAATTACTGTTGATTTTTAACACGTGGTTCATATTGTTTGTATGACTTCAACTAAACATCCAATAAGATATCAAACTTCTTTTAATGGTGGGTGTAGAATGTGTTAAAGATGTTACTAATATGTATAGATAGGTGGGTAGATAGATAGGTACCCTACTATTCTAAGCTGGTTGCACTTGCATTTATGAAATTTGGTCGCAAATTAGCCTTTTACAAACAATGCCTAGTTAACCGCAGAGTTCTGTTGTTTTTGCTATAGTTTTATATGGTGACAATGATGATGCCATATTTTCATTTGGCTTTATGTATGAATGAATTGAAGTTGTTGGCACAACAGTTACGAGGGTTTTTCCTTTTCTGTCCCTGTCTTAGCCAAGTAGTTCTAAGTGAATGAAGTCTTATTAATTTCATTCATCCTTTAGGTATTTATGCTGTATTCCTTTTTTTGGTTGATGTTAGTGGTGCAAAAGCAGTTGAAATTTTGGAAGCATTTGAAGGGACATTAGAAGATGATTATCCACCAGATAATGAACGTTGTGAGCATGGTGAAATGCTTTTATATAAGGTATTGGTCATGTACTTCAACTCTTTTTTTTTTGCATGCATATGTATGTGGGATGTGGCTGTAATTTCACATGAGTTGACTTCATTATACAGACATTCAAAATTTTAGAATTTATACTAACATAGAATGGGAGTGACTGATTTGGTGTCACTTGTCAACCAGATGCCAACACAGTTAGTGAAATTATCCATAAACCAAATAAAGTAATTAAATATACAAAAATTAAAGATTTTTAATGCCTTTACCTTCTTTATAAATGGGGTCCCTTTTTTGAATTAATTCTAATTTTTTTCACATGCAATTAGAAAACCTACCCATTTCTTCTTAACTTCTTTTTTCCTTCCGCTTATTTTATTGCCAAAACCTCATCTACTTTCATGTACATGTTACACCCATTTTTTCTACTTGTGAAGTATGGCTTTTCATGATTCTGTGTGTATGGCTGATAAGTTAAATTAAATCATCTCCAAGTTTACTTTAATCTGAGATGGAGGACTAACTAGTGGCCTATAGTGGTATTTGGCATCTATAAGATATTTAATTCTTGATGTATTCATGTTAGAGAGAAATATGGCTTGTTCACTAATTGTTGGGCCTTCTACCAGTAATCATATCTGTGGTGTTTGTACTTAGCAGCTCTGAATCTTAATAATTGCTAATCTCCAATTATATGTTCTGTGGAACCATTTCGGAATTTTTGTTTCTGATATCTTAATAAATTAGTCTATCTTTCTTTTTGACTACTCTTTTTTGGTTTAACACCATTAACACGATTCGAAAACAGCTTAACCAATTGGACAAGTACCTACAAGCCTTAGCCCTTGCAGTAGCATTTATTTCTTTAATAATATATTGGCATAGAAATATGCATAACTACATTCATTATGCATAATGGATGCTGTACATCTAGACTAGTGGTGCCCCCTGCTGCTTTTCTGATGTTTATGAGGGTATGGTATTTTTCTCCAGATCTCTTTGCTAGAGGAATCTGGGTTTCTTGAGAGAGCACTTGAGGAATTGTATAAGGAAGAGCCAAAAATAGTACGTGTCAAATGTATAATACCTGAATACTTTTAACATTAATAATTTTGTAAGTTTTGAATTTTTGGACATTAAAATTCTAACCAATTCTATTATTCTAGGTTGATAAATTGACTTATAAAGAACAAGAGGTTTCTCTCCTGGTGAAACTTGGATGCCTAGAAGAAGGTGCCAATATTTACAAGGCTTTACTTACCATGAACCCTGACAAATACAGGTGAGTCTTATGCATTTGGTACTCTTTTGAAACACCTAGTTAAGCTCATTAATAAATCTTTCATAGCAAAGAATATTAGTCAACTCTTTCCTTTTATATAGCACTTCTTGAAGTTATAATTGACTTCTTTTTCTCAATGCCGTGGTGTATTATTATTGTAGGAAATGAAGAATAATTAATATTCTGAATAGTTTGTGTTTAAATATATTTTTGTTGGGCTAATAGGTTTTTCAATTCTTCTTGTAGTAACACCCAAATTCCTTTACCTATGTTAGAACTTTATGAAGGGTTAAAAGAATGGTAGAAATAGTCATTATTTTTTATGCTCTATTTTCGTTATGCTCTATTTGGATGATTAAATTGTTAAACACTTAATTTTTTTTGTTTGAGTAATTGTTAATTATTAGATTTTTAAAATTTTTTTAACCAATCAAATTTGAATTTCGTCATATTATATTTTGATTTGCTAATTTTTTTTAATACATTAAAAGTTATTTGATTATAATTATAATTTTTAATGGTATATAATTTTTTAAAAACCCAAAAGAAGTGTTTTCGTATATTTATAATTTTATCTCCTCAAACCTCACGTTATGGAAAAACATGAAATCTCAATTTTTAAGCTTTGGATTATTCTTTAAAAAAATCTCGAAGAAAAAATAGAAACTAAGTGATTAATTTCTTAAAATTTTAATTTATTAATTTAATTTGTATGAAAAAAAATTAAACATTTAAAATATTTCAAATTTATAATTTTAAAAATCTGACTAAATTAAAATTTAATTAAATTATATATTATTTGAACCAATAATTACTCCAAAAGATCTCGCACCACAAGTTAAAAAAAAAAAAAATTCATATATCTCCTTGCTAGTTTGCATGAACAATTTTATCAGCGTGTCATGAACCTTTATTTTCTTTCTTTCAGCAATTTATTGAGTTTTTCTTTTACTAATTATAATCAAGTAAGCCAATAAAAATTGGTGCAAATGATTAAAGTTTAAGATTTAGATGTAAAGTATTTAGATTTATGATAATTAGATTCAAATCTTTAATGATTTTTTATTAATAAATAATTTATTAATTTTTAAAAATAAGATAACTTCTCTTATTTTTAATTTTTTTTTTACAAAAAAATATAATAAAATAAAAACGTCATAATATAAAAAGAATTTTGATATATTTAACTTGGTTTTCTTCTCAATTGATTCATTATTTCAATTTTTCGTTCATGATTTTGCTAATTTTCTCCTTGATAATATAGTTATCAACAATGTTTTAGAAGCTGATCATGGGGTGCAGTGATGGTTGACCCCATGGAATCATAAACACCACCACGTGTCTTTGGGAATGGGACTGATGAGAAGGGGAGGGTCCTCCCCTTATTTTGAGAAAAGTCTAAATTTCTAAACCACCAAATAAAATGATCAGCTATTTTTTTTTTTTTGGTGAATTGGTGAGGGGTCTTTTTGTAATTGCAGATATTTATCAGTCTTTCACCATCCTGCTGGCCAATTTTGAGAAACGATGCTATTCCTTCTCACTAGTCATCCTTGCAACTTTTAAGCTTTGGCTTGGCTGGGCTTTTGGTTAAAGTTTGGTGTGGGGGTAATTTAGATTTTAATTTAGAATTGCTTTTGCTAACATTCGCATCCTCCATTCTTCCTCAACTTTGTTTTTGTTAGAAAAATGAATTTTTTTAAAAAATTGATGGGGCTTCTCCACTTTTTCTATTTGCATTTTTTTTTCTTTTGAAGTGCATTTTTTTTTTTCATTTATATAAAAGAAGCAAAGCTGATTTTCATCAAATATATTTTTCATTTAGTCACTACATTTATTTTAAAAAAGTCAATTTTTAATTTAAAATTTAATTGGTTAAGTTTCAACGGTTAGATTTTTTTGCATTTTAAATTTAAAACCCACTGTCTTCAGCCATTCTTCTCATCATTTCAATTTTCTTTCTCTCAAATTTAGGTTTTTCGTTTTTGGATTCACTTTCGGCTTGGAATATAGATTATTGTCGATAATATCGACATCAAGCAAGTAATGAGTCGATTCAACTTTCCTTGAGATTGGGCATCAAGATTAGGTTGGGAAATTAGGGTTCTTGATCTAATAAGAGGGAAATTAATTCCTTTGAGGGGAAGGAATTTTTCTCGGCCATTGGTCAATCCAAACAAAGTAGAGAATTAGTTGGTGGAGGACAAATTGGAATGTGTGAGGAATTTGGAGACCTTTTGAAGGTTTGATTTCTACCATCTTAATTTTATTTAAATTTTTTTACTTCAAATAATGCCCGATTTGATTTTTTTCTATTTTTTTCTGATGATAAAATGTGTTCTCGTTATAGACTGTAGATAATGATATTGCTAGTGTAAGCTGTTTTATTATGTCTTAGCTGTTAGTCATATTAATTTGATTTTCTGTTTGGTATTTTTTTTAATGAGCTCCAAATGGTACCTCGGGATGTTCTGTTCATTATATTTACTCTGGATTTCTTCTCTCTCTTATTTATAGAATCACATGATGCAAATCCAACGAAAACCTTACTTTTTTGTAGAGCTATCAAGCTTTCTCCCCTTTTCTAGAGAGAGGAGGGGCAGCTATTTTTACAAATACTCTTGTAGGGATCTTGTTTTTCTTGATGGCTTGATAAGAAATTGTGACAAAAATCTAGTGATGTGCTTCTACAATAGACACAGTCCATTCGATGGCTTGTGATATTCTTAAATAATCTAGAAATAGATAGTTGTGGTATTATGCTGAAATACTTCATTGATGTCTTGATGTGACAATAGTAAGAACTCTAGGTGGTTAAAATTATGCTTTCAAATGCTTCACCCCTAGAGAGTTGACATGGTGGCTAATTCTTTTATTAGTGGCTATCTTTATCTCATTCTTTTAGTTAAACTGACTTTCCTACATAAAAACCTTTTGACGATGGGCCAGGTTATGGCATGATTGAAATAAAGTGTCAAACTCTAGAGCTTTTGGAATTTGACTCATGCAGTGAGGATGTATTTAAATTGTTTCTTCCTGTAACCTACATTTGTTATGTATTCATTCATGAGAATTGTAATTATTGCTGTTACAATGTGCATCATTATTGCCAATAAATGCTACTTCCTTTATGATGTGTGATGAATGTTCTAGGACTTATATTAAAACTTTGTTTTCTCAATTTTTAGAGGATACCACTTGATTTACTGCAAGGAAACAAATTTCGTAAAGCGGCAATTGATTGCATTAAGCCTTTTCTAACCTTTATATCCAAGTGAGATTTTTTTTTTTTTATATTAGTTTGACTGGTGTTTTTTAGTTTGACTGGCTATTGTTTCTTGATCTTTTGGAGAAGTTCTTGGAATTTTCTTGAAGCTGGGTCTATGTGTATATTATTTACTTCTCTTTGGTGATAGAGTCGGATACTGAAACATGTTGGTGATTTGGTAGCTGTGGCTTCATTGACAGATGAAGCTAGGTGTATGGATCTTGCAGATCGCTATATAAACAGTTAATCTGTGAAGCGAATGTTGCAGTCTGATCAGGTTCTAAGGCTTCCCCACTTCATCTTTTGTAATGGTTAATATTTGTCACTAAATTTCTTTCGGTATTATTGTACTGTTCACAAACTTTTTCTACTTTTGAAGGTGGCTTTGGCAGGAAAAACTGCTGTTTTGTTCACGAAAGATGGGGGCCAGCACAACAACCTTCATGTGGTCTGTTTTTGTTTATTACCTTCCACATGTTGTTGTCTCTAATTATAATTTGGGTACACCTACTGAGTGTTATCCATCTTTTGAAGGTATGAACTTGCTTATGATGAAAGTTGCTTTCGACATGGTGATTTTGGACGGGCACTGGAGAAATTTATAGCTGTGGAGAAGCACTATGCTGATATTACTGGAGATCAATTTGATTTCCATTCTTATTGTTTGCGGAAAATGACACCACATGCATATGTTGGAAAGCTGAAATTTAAAGATTGGTTGCATTCACATTCTTATTTTCACAAAGTAGCAGCTGGAGCCATTAGGTGAACATTTTTGTTAGGATCTGCAGCCTTTTCAATGATTTGCAATAGACTTATTCTGTTTGGTTGTGGCCTGTACGTGTAAAATGCTATGCAAGCTCTGTTGTCTACTTGTCTGGGTGCTTTTAGCGTCTGTCACCTATTGTTGATCAACACATGCACGTGATGCTTCATTTTTGTTAGGATTTGCAGCCTTTTCAATGATTTGCAATAGACTTATTCTGTTTGGTTGTGGCCTGTACGTGTAAAATGCTATGCAAGCTCTGTTGTCTACTTGTCTGGGTGCTTTTAGCGTCTGTCACCTATTGTTGATCAACACATGCATGTGATGGTTCATTTTGGGTTAGATTCCTTTTTGCCTCTCTCTTTTTCCCTTTGTCTTTTGGGGAATGGGGGATTATTGCATACATATATGTTGCATTAATCATACGTTGCAATGATGTGTTGTCTGAACCTTGCTTTCAAAGCATGAAAAACTTCCTAAAGGTAACTGTTGTTCATTACTTACCCTTGCACAACTATTCATTTGTTAATAATTAGACACTCCCATTATGATATCCTATCTAATTGAAGACTCTTCTAGCAGCCCCTCCATTAATAGGAGAGGGGATATCATATCAAGATTTCTGATTCCCCTCCCCTACTCTAATTTTTCCTTGAATCCTAGACGTAAGGATTTACAACATTTTTGAAGACAAAACCTTGCTAAGTTTATAATTTCAAGAAAGTATCAAGAGTCATTTTCTTGCACTTGTTTTGCTAGAGAAAATTTTTTTAGTCATATGAGCAAAGCAGAATATAGGGTTCCAAGTTTTTTGTTGATCAAGCAACAACCTGATTTGAACCGGGGAATAAGGGATTCGCAATCCCCGCCTTACTGGTTATCCATGTCACCAAAGGTTAGAAACCAAAAAGAATGAGTGTATCCCCTTTATAACTTTAGTTATAGATTGGATCCATACCTTCAATTAGTTATAGTATCTCAAGTAAAAAAATTAGTATTGTTCTTTTTTTCTTTCAATAAAAAAAATTCTTAATTTGATTTATATTATAATGTAATAATATAACAACAATTATGACTCTAGGTAAAACCCATAACGAAAGTTATTGCACGGCAACAAAAAGTTCAACCCAACAATGAAAAGCAGCTTGAGGTTTTTGTTTTTTTCATCCCTATGCCATGATGAAAAATTTTATCTTTATGAGTACCCATTTGCATGTTCATTGATTTATGATTTGGGTGAGTGTTTTTTGATTTCATTTTGTGTCTTTTGTCATCTATTGTCTTGCTTATAAGTACTCCTGTTTAAGGGTACCCATTTGCCTGTGCTGCTAGTTCATACATTTGAAGATTTTATCTTGGTTAATGAGGAGGTCAAATAATTTGATAGAATTTCAAGCTATTGCTATTGGAAATTACCTTCTGCAGATGTTTAGCTCAGAAATCAGATTGATTTAGTTAGATATATGAGGGTTGATTAGGAGACACTGTCTGGTGTAATATAAAAGATTTTGGCTGAGGGGCTCAAATGAGCAAGTTCAAGTCCTGAAAGTAGCCTCATTGTGTAAAAAATGATGAATCCTAAAGGCTAGGAACATTTTTCAAATGACTCTTCTTGGTTTCTCATCCTTCATTGGCAGGATTGAGGCTGAGTAATGATCCTCTTTATAAGGGAAGATTACTCAAAAGGCTGTTTAGAAAGCATTCTCCAAATTGCTATAAAAACCAACCATCATAGCAAAACGGCAATGTCTGTGTTTCTTCATTTTTGGGTTCTTCCACACACTGAAATAACCTTTGCATATCAACAGGAGTTGACCTCAACCTCTGGACCTTGTGATCCTTTATGTTGAGTTGATGAAGCTAGCTCGTTAGATTTTGAAGTTACTTACCAGCCAAAGACTAATTTGTTGAAAACTATTGGTGTTTTCACAGCAGCTTTAACAGGGACTATGGCAATTAACCTATCATGGGTTACCAACATCCAGGTTATCTTTAATTTCTTGTGCAATCCTTTCTTTGTAGGTTGTAATCATTTTTTCATCTTTGACCAATATTTTTTATATTCTTGTATTATGCACAGAAGCCTTTCTTAATTTGATCTAATTTCATAATGCATATTTCTATGGCATTGCTTTTTGTAATAGGATATGCAGGCATTATCTTTGAAGAATTTCTAGCCTTCAATAAAAGTGGAATAGATTGTTGATGGCTGTGAGTTTATGGGTGGTAAGGAGAATAGGGGTAAGAATGATTCTCAGATGTTTAGGATTGGACTGTGTTTTTCTGCTGTCCCTCTTCTTGTAGTTTGCATCATATTTATCATTCTCATAAATTGGGATGAAAACACAAAATTCTGTTGCGTATTGGATGCTTTATTCGGTACTATGTCAGGTTTCAACCTGTTTCTCTCATGTTCATTGGTGGTGGCCTCATGACCCGGTATTCATTCAAGAGTTAATGAAATACAGGATGCTTGGGCTCTAAACTTATTTCCTGATCTACTAGTTTTATTGGTCTATGTTTTTTGGTGAGCAATGGCTTGTCTTTTAATGAAGTGATCATTGCAATTTAATATCCTTTATTTTTAATTTATGTTGGAGCCCACTTCCCATTTAAAGGAGGGAGCATCTCCAATTTAAACCAATTCCAAGGAACTACCCTAGCAATGAATTAGGATAGCAAAACTAGGTACTTACCCCCATGGTCAATTGGGAGAGCCAAAGTTTGTGTTTGTGTGTGGCTTGTTACCATCACTAGGAATTCTGCAAATGGTTACTATGACTATCTCCCTTTATTAATGGAATTCTATGGTCTACTTATGCTGATGCATCTGACTTCTGTATGGAAATTTTTTTTTTATCATTTTCTTATTTATTTCGCCTTTATCTGTTAATACTTGTGTAATAATGCTTGGGCCATTCACATTTGTAGGCTCCTTCAACTGATTTAGCTGTTTTAGAGCTGAAACATGCATCTGCTGATCGTTTTTTCTTGCTTGGTGCAATGACCATTGTAGAGATAGTTGATGCCCCTCAAGGATTTGAGCTGGTTACTGACAATATAACCACTCTAAAGCCACGGACTCCGCTTTGGGTGGTGAGTTGATTTCTTTCGGCTATAGTCATACTGACAATTTTATCATTAATGGTTCATATATGAATCTAATTGAGAGTTCAATTGCACATTGAAGCATACCCTGTGGCCTAATTTACCCACCGACCGTGAAATTTGTCTAGTGGGTATAAACCAATGATGTAGATGATTAAAACTGATAAGATGGATTCAGAAGAATCTTAAATGTGCATACTTATGTGTCATGGCTAAAGTTATTAACCTGCCGAAGAAAATTGGAGAAAGGATAAAAAAAAATGCAAAAGTTATGTTAAAGTATTCATTAGTTGCTTTTCATGATTCAAGTCCAATCTCACCTCCTGGAAATTAAAAAATTAAGCTCTTAAAATTTTTAAATCTTGGCCCATTCATGTCCCAAACCAGTGCACTGAAGAGCCTTTGTAGTTAATTTTCAATTATAAGATAAAGATTTGATGTTGCAACTTAATCAAAAAGACCTTAATTATGTCTTACCTTGAAGAATAAAGCAGACGATGGCCTTTAGTATTTGCCCTAAGCCTTAATTGTAAATATTCTTGTTTGATTAAAATCTCTTTTAGCATTTGCCAATCAATAGATGTTAGTATTTTGGATTTTTTTGATGGTATAGGATTTTTGTAATTATCATTGAGAAACTACATTTTTAGGAAGATCAATTATCATTTAATGTTTTGCTCATAGAAATCTATTAATTTTTGCATTAATGATACTAAAATGGAGAGAGGTTATCTAGGTGAGTACAAATACCAATATTTTCATCATGTTTATTTATGGCATTGGTTGTAAAGTAGTGGGATATTCACAGAACAAATGTAATTTTTTTTAATGGATTTTTCTTTTTGGTTCCAAAGGAACTTATTGAGGCTACTGCTTTGAGATACCATATGTTGAATGATATGCCACTTCAAAAGAAAGCTTACCTCGTTTCATATTGTATTCTCTAAAACTCTAAATACGTGTCTTTTTTCATCTTTCATTAGATATGTGTTCTCATTGAGTTTTTCTTATGTTATGATTATTCATTGAGAAAGTAAGTTAATGTTGTCTTAAGGTTAGGGTTAGTCTTTAACAATATAAGGCCTTCTATTTAGAAAGTAATGGATAATTATCTTAGGGTTGTATTGGGGTTTAATTTATTTAGGATATATTGGAGGTTTTGAGTTTAGGTTAAGGTTATAATACTTTATTTGTGAGCTTGGGGTTGTTCAATCAGTAAAATGAGTTGTAATGAATGTGGTTAGCTGTTGCTTTATTCATTTCTTATTGCCTTACTTTTACTTTATTTGCTAGCTGTCTTTGTCTTCATTTTGTTTACTTGCTGCATTGGTTTTGATCAGTTTTGGATTGCTTTTTTTTTAGTTGTTGCATGGCCTCCAAGTTCTTCTATTTTTATTTCTCAAATAGCATTGTTATAGTTATACTTGGGGGAAACACTAAAATTATCCTATGGCATGACAATTGTGTTTAACTCAACTAGTATGTAATTGTTATATGACACGTTGAATGGAAACAATAATATCTCTAAGCATCTCTATAGATGTCTTTTCTTGTTGAGATTTTGTTTTCATGTTCGGTTTTGGTCTACTAAGATTATTTGGTTCCATAACAATTGCATTTAACTTAAGTGGTATGGACTTATTATATCACATCTTGCTGATTTTAGAATGGGACGTGACTTTGAATGAAGCTTTCTCTTGTTATTTGGCTCTTTGAAATGGAAATATAATATTCCTAAGATTTCTGTCGATATCTTTTCTCATTAAGATTTTGTTATATCAGATTCTTCTTGTTTCATTTTTTCATTTTTTGTGTACATGAGTTGAGTTTTGTAATTTTGCTTTCGAAAAAATCTTTGGATTGTGGTTTCGTAAGTATGATTGTTATTTGGTAGTCTCTATGGAGCTCAATGGATTGTGTGCTTGCAAGCTTGCAAAGATGGGAAGAATTAGAGATTCAAATTTGTATAGCTGTGTGTTGTGCATGTTAGGAGTTAGTTATTTTTTGTTGGTTTAACTTTATTGCTTGATGGATTAATTTCTTAGGTTTAATTTCTGAAACTAAGTACCACCAAACCCAAAGGTTGAGTGTTAAAAGGAAGATTCCTTGCCTCTTTTGTTATTGGAGTTAGTTATCATCTTTGGCCATTCATAGTTTTCGTTTTTTTCTCATTGAGGCTTTGTTATGTCATGTTTTGATTTTTTTTTTGACACATTTATCTATATTAGTTTAGTTTTTGGAATTTAACTTTTTGAAAAAGCCCTTAGTTGTGGCTTCTTAAGTGTGGATATTATTTAGTAGTTGTCTGCTCTAAGCGAATGGCTTGCATGATAAGGAGGAATTCAATTTCTATGCCTCGTGTATGTATATTTTGCAAGTTTCTTGTTTTGTTTGTTACAATCTTTTTGTAGGATAGAATGGTTTCTTTCTTTTAATTTCTGAAACTTAATTTTGACGAGGATAGAAATTGCTGCTTAAAAAGAAGATTATCTGTATGGGCTGTGTGCTCTAAGCAATGGCTTGCAGTATAAGGTGAATTCAATTTTTGTGCATCTTGGTGTGTGTAGGTGTATTTTGAGAGTTTTTTGTTATGTTGGTTTCACTCTTTTTGTTAGGTTAAAATTCTAAAACTTAATTTTGACATGCATTGGGCTTGAATGCTTAAAAGGAAGATTATTTCGTTTTGCTGGATTCTTTGAAATTCTAAATATATGTTGTCATAGTCTCTCAGTTGGTGTCTTTTTCATTGAAATTGTGTCTTGATTCTTCTTGTTTTATTTTTAAACTTTTACATAAATTAGGGCTTTGTAACTTTACTTTGAAAAATTCCTTGGGTTGTTCTTCCTTTAGTGTGGTTTGTGATTCGTTGGTCTCTATTAAACTTATGCGCGATGTGCTCCAAGAACGACTTGCAGTGTAGGGGGAATTAAGGATTCTAAAGTTGTATGTGTGTAGGATTTAAGGATTAAAAATTTGTGTGGCTGTGTATGGGAGTTTCCTTGTTTTTCTCTTTGTGTGTTCTAAGCTAATGGCTTGCATGATTAGCTGAATTCAATTTCTGTGCCTGATGTGTGTAGGTGTATTTTGGGAGTTTTTTGTTTTGTTGATTTCACTCTGTTACAGAACAGGTTGGTTTGTTGGGTTCAATTTCTGAAACTTAATTTTGACATGCATTGTGGTCAAATGTTTAAAAGGAAGATTATTTCCTTTTGCTGGATTCTTTGAAACTCTAAATATGTGTATGGGAGTTTCCTTGTTGCTTTGTAGTGTAGGGGGAATTAAGGATTCTAAATTTCTATGGTTGTGTAGCATTTAAGGATTAAAAATTTATGTGGCTGTGTGGTATGACAGTATTCCTGTTGTTTTCTCCTTGTGTGCTTCAAGCAGTGAATTCAATTTCTGTGCCTCTTGTGTGTGTAGGTATGTGTTTAGGGAGGGTTTTATTTTGTTGGTTTCACTCTATTTGTTACAGGACAGATTGGTTTGCTAGGTTCAATTTCTGTAATTTAATTTTGACATGCATTGTGGTTGAATGCTTGAAAGGAAGATTATTTCCTTTTGCTGGATTCTTTGAAACTCTAAATATATGTTGTCATAGGCTCTCAGTTGGTGTCTTTTTCATTGAGATTGTCTCTGGATTCTTCTTGTGTCATTTTTAAATTTTTACATAAATTAGGGCTTTGTAACTTTACTTTGGAAAATTCCTTGGGTTGTTCTTCCTTTAGTGTGGTTTGTGATTCGTTGGTCTCTATGAAACTTATGCGCTATGTGCTCCAAGAACGACTTGCAGTGTAGGGGGAATTAAGGATTCTAAAGTTGTATGTGTGTAGGATTTAAGGATTAAAAATTTGTGTGGCTGTGTATGGGAGTTTCCTTGTTTTTCTCTTTGTGTGCTCTAAGCTAATGGCTTGCATGATTAGCTGAATTCAATTTCTGTGCCTGATGTGTGTGTAGGTATTTTTTGGGAGTTTTTTGTTTTGTTGATTTCACTCTGTTTGTTATAGAATAGGTTGGTTTGTTGGGTTCAATTTCTGAAACTTAATTTTGACATGCATTGTAGTCAAATGTTTAAAAGGAAGATTATTTCTTTTTGTTGGATTCTTTGAAACTCTAAATATGTGTATGGGAGTTTCCTTGTTGCTTTGCAATGTAGGGGGAATCAAGGATTCTAAATTTTTATGGTTGTGTAGCATTTAAGGATTAAAAATTTGTGGCTGTGTGTATGGAAGTTTTCCTGTTGTTTTTCTCCTTGTGTGCTTCGAGCAGTGAATTAAATTTCTGCGACTCGTGTGTGTAGGTATGTGTTTAGGGAGGGTTTTATTTTGTTGGTTTCACTCTATTTGTTGCAGGGCAGATTGGTTTGCTAGGTTCAATTTTTGTAATTTAATTTTGACATGCATTGTGGTTGAATGCTTAAAAGAAATATTATTTCTTTTTGCTGAATTCTTTGAAACTTTAAATATATGTTGTCATAGGCTTTCAGTTGGTGTCTTTCTTATTGAGATTCTCTCTGGATTCTTTTTGTGTCATTTTTAAATCTTTACATAAATTAGGGCTTTGTAACTTTACTTTGGAAAATTCCTCAGGTTGTTCTTCTTTTAGTGTGGTTTGTGATTCGTTGGTCTCTATGAAACTTATGCGTTATGTGTTCCAAGAATGACTTGTAGTGTAGGGGGAATTAAGGATTCTAAAGTTGTATGTGTGTAGGATTTAAGGATTAAATATTTATGTGGTTGTGTATGGGAGTTTCCTTGTTTTTCTCTTTGTGTGCTCTAAGCTAATGGCTTGCATGATTAGTTAAATTCAATTTCTGTGCCTAATGTGTGTGTAGGTGTATTTTTGGGAGTTTTTTGTTTTGTTGGGTTTCAATTTCTGAAACTTAATTTTGACATGCATTGTGGTCAAATGTAAGGAAGATTATTTCCTTTTGTTGGATTCTTTGAAACTCTAAATATGTGTAAGGAGTTTTCTTGTTGTTTTGTAGTGTAAGGTGAATTAAGGATTCTAAATTTCTATGGTTGTGTAGCATTTAATGATTAAAAATTTGTGGCTGTGTATGGGAGTTTCCCTGTTGCTTTTCTCCTTGTGTGCTTCAAGCAGTTAATTCAATTTCTGTGCCTCTTGTGTGAGTAGGTATATGTTTAGGGAGGTTTTTATTTTGTTGGTTTCACTCTATTTGTTACAGAGCAGATTGGTTTGTTAGGTTTCATTTTTGTAATTTAATTATGACGTGCATTATGGTTGAATGCTTGAAAGGAAGATTATTTCTTTTTGCTGGATTCTTTGAAACTCTAAATATATGTTGTCATATGCTCTCGGTGTCTTTCTCATTGAGATTGTCTCTGGATTTTTCTTGTGTCATTTTTAAATTTTTACATAAATTAGGGCTTTATAATTTTACTTTGAAAATTTTCTTGGGTTATTCTTCCTTTAGTGTGGTTTGTGATTCAAGCAGTGAATTCAATTTCTGTGCCTCTTGTGTGTGTAGGTATGTGTTTAGAGATGTTTTTATTTTGTTAGTTTCACTCTATTTGTTACAGGGTAGATTGGTTTGCTAGGTTTAATTTTTGTAATTTAATTTTGACATGCATTGTGGTTGAATGCTTAAAAGTAAGATTATTTTTTTTCTGGATTCTTGAAAACTCTAAATATATGTTGTCATAGGCTCTCAGTTGGTGTCTTTTTTTCATTGAGATTGTCTTTGGATTCTTGTGTTATTTTTAAATTTTTACATAATTTAGGGCTTTGTAACTTTACTTTGGAAAATTTCTTGAATTGACTTTGTACTGCAAGTCATTTGTTTAGAGCACACAGTCCATACAGATAATCTTCTTTTTAAGCAGCAATTTTTATCCTTGTCAAAATTAAGTTTTAAAAATTAAAAGAAAAATTATTATATCTTACAACAAAAAGATTGTAACAAACAAAACAAGAAACTTGCAAAATATATACATACAAGAGGCACAAAAATTGAATTTTTTCTTATCATGTAAGCCATTCGCTTAGAGCAGATAATCACTAAATAATATCCACATTTAAAAAGTCACAACTAAGGGGTTTTTCAAAAAGTTAATTTCAAAACAAAACAAAAAACTCTCAAAATACACCTACACACACATTAGGCACAGAAATTGAATTCAGTTAATCATGCAAGTTATTAGCTTAGAGCATAAAAAGAGAAAAACAAGGAAACTCTCATACACAGCAACACAAATTTTTAATCCTTAAATCTTACACACATGCAACTTTAGAATTTTTAATTTTTCTTACACTGCAAGTCGTTCTTGGAGCACATAACGCATAAGTTTCATAGAGACCAACGAATCATAAATCACACTAAAGGAAGAACAACCTAAGGAATTATTCAAAGTAACGTTACAAAGTCCTAATTTATGTAAAAATTTAAAAATGACAAAGAATCCAGAGACAATCTCAATGAGAAAGACATCAACTGAGAGCCTATAACAACATATATTTAGAGTTTCAAAGAATCCAGCAAAAAGAAATAATCTTCCTTTTAAGCATTCAACCACAATGCATGTCAAAATTAAATTACAAAAATTGAACCTAGCAAATCAATATGCACTGTAACAAATAGAATGAAACCAACAAAATAATCTCTCTAAACACATACCTACACACATAAGAGGCACAAAAATTGAATTCACTGCTTGAAGCACACAAGAGAAAAACAATACGAAATTCTCACACTGTCACATAAATTTTTAATCCTTAAATGCTACAAAATCATAAAAATTTAGAATCTTTAATTCCCTTTACATTACCAAACAAAGAAACTCTCATACACATTTAGAGTTTCAAAGAATCCAGCAAAAGAAAATAATCTTTCTTTTAAACATTTGATCACAATACATGTCAAAATTAAGTTTTAAAAATTGAACTCAACAAATCAACTTGTTCTGTAACAAACAGAGTGAAATCAACAAAACAAAAAACTCTCAAAATACACCTACACATATCAGACACAGAAATTGAATTCAGCTAATCATGCAAGTCATTAGCTTAAAGCACACAAAGAGAAAAATAAAGAAACTCTCATACACAGTCACACAAATTTTTAATCCTTAAATCTTACACACATGTAACTTTAGAATCCTTAATTTCTCTTACACTGCAAGTCGTTTTTGGAGCACATAGTGCATAAGTTTCATAGAGACCAACGAATCACAAATCACACTAAAGGAAGAACCCAAGAAATTTTTTAAAGTAAAGTTACAAAGCCCTAATTTATGTAAAAGTTTAAAAATGACACAAGAAGAATCTAGAGACAATCTCAATGAGAAAGACACCGAGAGCCTATGACAATATATATTTAGAGTTTCAAAGAATCCAGCAAAAGGAAATAATCTTCCTTTCAAGCATTCAATCACAATGCACGTCAAAATTAAATTACAGAAATTAAATCTAGCAAACCAATCTGTCCTGTAACAAATAGAGTGAAACCAACAAAATAAAAATTTTTCTAAACACATACCTACACACATAAGAGGCATAGAAAT